GGATGCAGGCCTGAGTCTCGACGCCGCAGAGCAGCACAGAGCGCAGCTGCGGCCGCGCGTCCAGCTCCTGCCGCGCCACGGGCACCATGCTGAAGCAGGTCTTGGGCAGGGGCTGCAGGCCCGCGGCCCCCAGCTCGGGCACCGTGGGGCCCAGGCCCTGCGGGTACTGCTCCGTCAGCACAGTTGGCACCTCCAGCAGTCGGGCCACCTGTGCCGGGAGGGGGGACAAAGGCCTGAGCCTGAGGGAGGGGGCTGGATCCCCTGGTCTGAGGGAGGAGGTGGCTGGATCCCCTGGTCTGAGGGAGGAGGTGGCTGGATCTCCTGGTCTGAGGGAGGGGAGGGCTAGATCCCTGGTCTGAGGGAGGAGGGGGCTGGATCCCTGGTCTGAGGGAGGAGGGGGCTGAATCTCCTGGGTATGAGGGAGGAGGGGGCTGGATCCCTGGTCTGAGGGAGGAGGGGGCTGGATCCCCAAGTCTGAGGGAGGAGAGGGATGGATCCCTTTCGGGAGGTGGGGGGGTGGTTTCTCTGCCCGCCCAGGGTTCCTGCGCCCCTAGACCTTGAACCCAATCCCGCCCTCCACCTGCAGTTCGAGGTCTGAGGGAGGAGGGACCAGTACCTTGAGCATGCGGGCGGCCACAGAGACGATCTGGGGGAAGTAGGCGACGTGGCGGAACTTCTCCTGCATGTCACACAGGAAGAGGATGGACGACCCAGGGAGGACCCGGCCCAGGCTGGGCTTTGCAGCCGCCATGTCCTGAGGGAGGGCAGCGGGGGCAGCAGGCGGGAGGTGGGGGGGTGGTTTCTCTGCCCGCCCAGGGTTCCTGCGCCCCTAGACCTTGAACCCAATCCCGCCCTCCACCTGCAGTTCGCACCTGCTGCTCCCAGGTCTGGAACACGCTTTTTTATTGTTTAAAATATTTTTACTGATTTCAGAGAGGAAGGGAGAGGGAGAGAGACAGAAGCATCAATGATGAGAGAGAACATGGATCGGCTGCCTCCTGCACGCCCCACACAGGGGATCGAGCCCACAACCCGGGCCTGTGCCCTGACCGGGAATCGAATCGTGACCTCCTGGGTCATTGGTCGACACTCAACCACTGAGCCAGGCCGATTGGGCCACTTGTTTTTTAACCTGTGTGTCCTCTTCAGCCAGGAGGTCACGTTCCCACTCCTGGAAAGTCTCCTCAGACCCTGTCCATCCCCGAGATCCCAGACTCGCTCCCCCAGAGCCCTGGGCAGCCTCCTGCCCTCTGGGCGGGTGTGAGGGTGTCTGCCATCCCCATTACCGACTGTGCCACCAGACCTCAGGCTCCAAGGGTGACCCTCACCCGTCCCAGGGCCCACTGCCGGGAGCACAGGGGGCGGGATGTGATTCTGAGGGAGAAGAGCCGGGTTCTCCTGGGCTGCCCCCTCCCTCCTCGAGACCCGGTGGGCAGAGGGGCGGTGCTCTGGGAGCCATCCGGGCGGCTCCCCACCCGTGCTGGCCTCAGAAATTCAGCTCCCCCAGGTGTGAACAGCCAGCTGAACTCCTCCCGGGTCTTAGAAAGCAAGGCCGGTGTGGCTCAGTGGTTGAACATCAACCTACGAACCAGGAGGTCCCGGTTCGATTCCCAATCAGGGCACATGAGTGGGCTGGGGGCTCGCTCCCCAGAGGGAAGGAGGCAGCCGATCCACGATTCTCTCGCATCGTTGATGTCTCTCTCCCTCTCCCTTCCTCTCTGAAATCCATAAAAATATATTTTAATAAAACAAGCAGTAAGTGGTTCAAATGGCAAATCTGATGCCATGTGCGTTTCATCCCGGGAAAACACAGTGGGATGGAGACGCCCTCCAAAACCAAACCACAGCAAGTTCGCGAACCGCACAGTCACTGCCCGTGCCTGGTGCTGGGGTGCCCGGGGAACCTGGCCTGTCCTGGGGGGTCGGGAAGGGGCTCCGAGGGAGGGAACAGAGAAAGGGAACAACCTTTCTGAAAAGACAAAGCTGACCCTGGGACCCCCCCAGTCTCAGGGCCTCCCCAACACCGGGGACCACCGCGGCTCCCTCCCCTCGGAGTCGCTCTAACCGTCCGAGATGAGGGTACGGTTATGTAAGCTATGGCACATCCACACTGTGGGGTTCTGAGCAGCCAGGACAGATGACAAGGAAGCTCTTTAAGTAACAAGAGGAAAGGTGTTCAAAGATGGTAACGGGGGTGGGGGCGGGGGGCAGAACAGCCTGTACACCGATGCTCCCATTTGTGTCCCCAAAAAAGAAGGGGAAACGTATGTGTCCCGCTGCTATCTATAGCTGCTTCCAGCAGGCAGGAGGCAGCAGGGACTGGGGGGGGGGGGGGGGGGACACAGGTCACCGAGGGACAGTGTGGACCCGATTCTCGCTGCGCTGAGCTGTCCCTTTTGAGTGTTGGACAGCGTGTAACAGGTTGCGTAGCCGGGAAAGAATAAATCGGTTCAGGAAGAGACCCACATAGAGTGAGAACTCGGCCAAACCTGCCCAAGGCATTAAAGTTACGATGATGCTCGGGGCGGGCGGTGGCCGAGGGGTACAAGGGCTCCCGGGGGTGGGGGGTGCTGGACTTGTAAATCTGGTGACTCTACACCAGCGTGCTCACTCTGCGTGAAGTTACTTCAGCTGTGTATCTGTGACTTGGCCATTGTTGTGCATATGTGGTGCACTTCCACTTAAAGTCTTTAGAGCAGTGGTTCTCAACCTTCCTCACGCTGCGACCCTTTAATACAGTTCCTCATGTTGTGGTGACCCCCGATTTCATTGTTACAAATTGAACATAATTAAAGCATAGTGATTAATCACAAAAACAATATGTAATTATATATGTGTTTTCCGATGGTCTTAGGTGACCCCTGTAAAAGGGTCGTTCGACCCCCAAAGGGGTCACGACCCACAGGTTGAGAACCGCTGCTTTAGACAGAATGTAAAATAAAATGGGGGGGAGGGAAATAAAGTAAAATAAAATAAAATGGGGAGGCCCCGCTGGCTGCTGGGGGGCTGGACTGGAGGCCGAGGCCAGGGAGGAAACGGGCTGGGGCCCCGGAGCCAAGGGTGAGGGGAGAAGTCACCCCGGTTTCTGGCCCATGGCTGGCAGGGCCTGCGGATTAAACTGGGGACCTGGACAGGGAGACCGGTTTGGGGGAGAAGATGAAAAATTGGGGGAGGGTGTGTGTGTGAATGTGAATGTGGGGAGATCGGAGCTGGAGGCAGATCTGGGGGTGCCCTGGGGGTGCCGTGGGGGAGGGATGGGACGGTCCAGAACGGACCTCTGCGCGGAAGAGGAGGGGCGGCCCGAGGAGGGGCGGCTGCAGGTGGGGGGCTGCTTAGATCCCCGCGAGCCCTCGGGGGACCCCCGCCCCGCAGGCGGACTTCCGGGCTGGGTGACTTGGGGCAAGTGTCACGCTCTGTCTGCACCTCCGTTTCCTCCGCGGGGAAAGGGGGGCCC